TGTTGCAAATTAACATTACAGTGCTATGGAGATAGTGCCAACATTTAATTTCTTTGCAAATTAATGAGTTGTAGTTCTAACCAATTGTCAAGGTGAGGTAAAATGGAACAAATAAAAACAGATGTATTACTGCATTGTAGAAGGTTGTGTGTGTGGGTTCAGTTGTACATTTGTTAAGGGTCCAGTTAATATGAGGTAGATTGAAGTCACCAAGAAAGATAAAAGCGTGTGGGCAGGATGCTGCCCATGTTAGTAGTGTATTTAGCTTGTTTGCATGTTCGATGTCATAATCAGGGGCTCTGATTAGTAAGAACCGAAATGTGATATTTAAGGACAGTTCACAGATGATGGTCTCAGGAATAGCAAGCTCCTGGGTAACTTGGATGTTTTTTAGATGTAGGGACTTTTTATAGAAGATAGCAACACCACCTCCTTTATGGATTAATTTTTAATTTTTAATTTTTTTCTGCTTCTTTCCCGACAAAGAAACATAATTCTAAGGAATTGAAATCTTGTTCATTGTTAAAAAATTGTTTTATAGTTGAGCTTCCTGATGGTATTGGCCAGTTTAGATTTTTGAACATGTCTTTTTTTCTTCATCTGGAATGGTTCCTTTTTCATTGCACAGTAAATCACTAGGGGCCTTTTAAAAATGAATCTGCTGGCTTACTTTACTGTCTGCTGACAGACTTTTCATCTCTTTTGCAAAAATACCACTTTTCTGTTTTTTCGGTTCCCTACTTTATATTCATCATTAGGTTTTTAATGCATTTTATTCATGGATTTTCCTGTTTGTTTTTATTTGTTCCATTTTACCTCACCTTGACAATTGGTTAGAACTACAACTTATTAATTTGCACCAAAGACTCAACAATTCAACCTTGAGCTATTCTTTTTTTCTTTTTGATAGCATGCACACATACCGCAGTTAAAAAAATTAAATGCAGAAAAGAAAAAAGGAACATGAGTTGAATCTGGAAATATAAAAATACAAAGTTAATATATTAAAACTAGGTAGCTCTGAATCTAAGCAAAGTTCAGAATACAAATTTAATTACTTTACAATAGATTAGCTCAAGCTTGGCAACTTTTAAGGTATGAATTTCAACTCCCAGAATTTATTTTATTTATTTATTTATTTATTTGATTTGCCAATTGTTTACAAGATAATAAGTATAAGTGTATACATAGTTGTGAATACATGAAATGGGTACATATAAGAAAAATAAAAGAATAAGAGAGACAATAGGACAGGGACGGTAGGCACGTTGGTGCGCTTATGCACGCTCCCTACAGACCTCTTAGGAAAGGGGTGAGGTCAATAGTAGACAGTCTAAGGTTAAAGTTTTTGGGGTTTGGGGAAGAGACTACAGAGTCGGGTAGAGTATTCCAGACGTTGACCACTCTATTGCTGAAGTCGTATTTCCTGCAATCAAGTTTGGTGCGGTTTACTTTGAGTTTGTATCTATTGTGTGCTCTTGTGTTGTTATGGTTGAAGCTGAAGTATTCATTGACAGGTAGGACATTGCAATGTATGATTTTATATACCATGCTTAAGTCAGACCGAAGATGGCGTAATTCAAGGTTTTCTAGTTCTAGAATTTCAAGTCTGGTGGCATAAGGTATTCTACAACGAGTAGAAGAGTGGAGAACTCTTCTTGTGAAATATTTCTGGACTTTCTCAATTGTGCTAATATCAGATACGTAATGAGGTATAAAAATACGTAATACGTAATTCTCCAATCATCAGCCAGCTGGGGAATTCTGAGAGTTCTTAAAGTTGCCAAGCTTGAAAATTGAAAGAAAGAGAATTGAAGGTTCTTTCTTGTTTTTAACGTATTTTTTTACTTTCATTAATTCAATTAATTTTCTGTTATCAACATTCTTAATCCTTTACCATCAACTTAAAGACTGTAAATTTAAATAAAGCTTATATGATGAGTTATACACTGTATGGGTTAATCAATAAAAATGTGCATGTAAATTTATTAAAAATGTGTGTGCTCTTTTCCAGGCAGAGGAATGTGCTTAATGGACTCGCAAATCAGGATGTATTTACATGGTATGTGGACAACCCAGAATTTCATCAAATGATTATTACACAGTCCCATCTCCCATTTAAGTGGAAAGAGTGTTTAGTATGTAATGCCATACTAAACAATCAATATCCTTTTATGTTATTTCTAATTACCAGATATTAAAACCAAAATCACATCTACATATCCTATTTACAGGCTTAGCAGTCTCGTCACTACTGAATTGGGGAGGAAGGAATTTATATCTGGCAAGGAAGGGGTTTATTTTTTCTTAATGCCTACAGTGTTTTTTCCATTCTTGCACATCTTCCCAATCTTTTAATCCAATCTAACTGGGCAAAACATGGCATAGCAAATGGAAGCCTAGCAAAAACGATGGGGCACTGAAAGGAAGAACTAAAAGAGCTGTTTGGGGATCACACCAGCATTTCAGTTTAAAATATTAAAATTAACAGAAAGTACTAGAAGGTTTAACCTGGACTCCACTTTTAAAAATAATGAGTTTTCAATAAAAATCAGAACAAGGAAATATTGCTTAGTCAAACCACCTCTGGGGAAAATGAGGTTACCACAGGAGAACATTTTCATATATTGTTTATTTATTATAAATGCCTGATATATGAGAGGCTTGCAGGTGCATTATTGCTGTGCCAGTATTTTCCATTTCCATGACAGGAAGGCAGAAAAATATCTGCGCTTGTTCCATCGTTCAATGCCTGGAATAAAGCACAGGCAGGAAATCCCATGACTCCGAATGTTACGGAAGTTTTGAATTTCAGAAATTTTGAAACATTCTGCAACTTGATGGATTTTCTAAAGAATGTTTCAAATACTTACAAAAGCAACTTTCTTTCTCCTTGGAGAAACACATACATATACACACACTACAATTTATAACAAGAGTTCATTCTTAGCAATAAGCAATAATACTGTGTAGTACACAACTTGGGGCTGGTGGCTTATTTTCACACAATTCATTCTCCCTCTCTACCACACACAATTTCAAAAATCCAGTGGGAATGTTGTCCCAGTTTCTAAGAATCCTTTTTTAGGCAATCTACATGGACTGTTGGTTTGTCAGCCACCCCTTTCTTCCAACATTTACTGCTTTAACTTCTCAGTCACAGTCTTGAAAAAGTCTTGCCACATTAACTTGAATGATTCTACTTAAGATTTCTTCCCGGGCTACCTACATTTACCATGTCTGTTCATCAATGGACTGATCAACAGCTACACAAGTACTGTGTATGCTAACATATGCTAACAGTGTAGCATCAAATGTAAGCATCAGCTCACTGCAGGAAACAAACCAACTCATGTACAGCATGACTGAATGTCTTGGATACAAAATCAATGAAGAAGAGCCTTTGTGTTCCACCAAAATGGAGGATAAGATTGGAAAATAAGATCGGTATGCCAAGTTCAGATACAAGCAAGATAGAAAAGATGAAAAAAAAAGAAGCTAAGGACAAGAAGACCCAAGGATATCTGATCAAGAAATATTACCTAGAAATAAGAGAGATGAAGGAAGCATTGGAACTAATAAAGCAGCAATTAACATCTACGGTCAAGATTAACAAAGCTGAAACTGCACACCATAAGCACCGTAAGCAGAATCGATAATTTCAGTCAAATCAGAAATGTTTCTACCAATCCATCAATGCAGAGACTGTAATGAACCCCTGCCAAAGAAAAAACAGTGCAGTTCTGGGTCCAGTTATGGGACAACCCAAAACGATATATACCGATATACCAAGAATAAAGCTTGGATAAAGGATATGGATAAAAAAAAGCAGCAGAAATTAAAGAACTCACAATAATGGCAGAAATGGTGGAGAAAAAAGGCAAGGAAGACTATATTAAGAAAACCTAAGAATCCTTGCTGAAGGAAGTCAATCAAAGGAAGTTCTTGAAAGCAACAAGGCGAAACACTGAATATAGAAAAGAAACAAATGAACAGATTTGTTAATTGAAAGAACAAGCCAATCATAGTCATACTTGAAGGATATGGAAGGAAAAGCTAATAAAATACCCACAAACACAGGAGGGTTAAAGAAAACCCAAAGGCTTTATTTTAGCTCAGCAAGCTGTGCCAACTAATTGCATGAAGGCAAAAATTTAACTTGTAACAAACACTAAATGTTGCTTTTTTAGTGAAAAGGATGAAACAACTAACCATACGGCTGCAGTGAAATGTCAGAAACCGAGTAAAAGCAGCATCATGACTGAGTTGCCAAAACTATTCATTGGAAACTTTGCCAGAGGTTCAGATCTGAACATAGTAAAAAATACTGGGATCATCAAGTTGAGGTTTTGGAAAATAAGCGGGTTCAGATCTTATGGGATATTACATTGAATCTTGTTTATAACATGCCTGACATAAGCTATTGAAAAGAAGAATGTCTGATTCATTGATGTTGCTAAGATCAAAACTGAATGCTTTTGAAAAAAGAAATCCATTGTTATACCTATAATGATTGGAACCCTTGGTGTACCTAAAGGACTTCTTCGATATCTGGAAGTGTAGAATTTATCTGGCTTGATCACCCTAATTTTACAAAAAAAAAAAAAAAAAAAACCCACACTGCTTGGAACTGCCTATATTCTTAGATGCTACCTTAATAATTCTATAATTATTAATAATTGGCTGTGAATCTAACTGTAGATTTAACATACATATTACCTATGCCAGATCCTTGGGAAGGATTCTAAAAATGCCTAATCCAGCCTAATCCAGGCTGATTGTGCAACGAACCATAATAATACATTATTGGAATATTAAGCTTCATTGGATGTTTTGCAATTGTGAATGTGTGTCTTCCTGTAGAAAAGAAAATCATCTAAAACAACTTACCACAGAAAGAAGAAATTTCATTAATACAGCATCAGCAACACTCCTGTACAACTCTTGTATATCCCAGTAATTTTATATAAGACTATTACTCAATAATTCAACTTTTAACATGTTTAAACACTTAATTTTATTTTGGTATTTTCAGAATAATCAGATTATCACAATTCCTTTGGTTTGTTTAACAGAAATTTAACAAACTGTGCTAGGACTTCATCGTTAAAACCTTTTACATCGTTGTTTTCTATTGATTCATACAGAGGCTTACTTTCAGTCCCCCAACAAATGTTCCTTCTTGGGTTATTTTGGTCAGCCTCAACAGTTAAAGCCAAGGTGTTTAACTGGTAACAAAAAAAGGCACAGTATCTTCCTTCAAATATCACAGCCTGGGATACAAAGGGTCGAGTCACATCGTCCTCACTCCAGAATCCTGAGAAAGAAGAAAAGTCATTTAACATAAATATTTCTCTACGAACAAAAAAGTGAATTTTCAAAAGCACTGCAAACGAGGGTCTCTGGCATATTTGACTGGAAGGCTAAAACAATGTTTTAAGAAAACAGGGATGACTGTAGAATACAATATACAATTTATCAAAGCAGCTGCACCTTCCCCTTGGATCACACAGCTGCTGCCACCTGCAGGTGCCAGTAAAAATGTATTTAACAAGCTGCAGGCAGATCCTATGATACGGCTTTCTGAATTTGCGGTGATAAAAACAAGTCATTTGGCAGTGGCAGATGATCACACCGTAGAAAGTAGCATTGTTGCTTCAAGGAGAAACAGCCGCAAAATTGGAAGCCAGTTTCCGAATTGGTAGAAGTACATGTTCAAGATAGGTTCCTGATTTCACAAACAGCCATTATGTGTCACAGATAATCCATTTATCCAACACAATAGGACCATGCTCAGGAATTCTTTTACAGATGTCCAAGTGCAGAGATTAAAGTGTATTGTAACATAATTTTTTAAATGTTCAATCTGTAAATTAATTTATTTTTTTTCTGGAATAACTGTAAGGATTTGTGGAATTGCCTTCAATACATGGCATAAATCAGTAAGTGTACAGGTATGTTTATGTTTAATTACTGATAAGGATGGACAAAATGATTCCATTAAAAAACAACTATTTTGAGTTTGAAACAGGTTGTTCTCACCTTAGAGGGAGTGTCCTAATTTTGCTCTGAACATTCTGGATAAGAAGAATGTAACAAGCTTGAAGCATTTCCACTAGTCAGAAGACTATCAGCTAATTTCCAATAAAGCTAGAACATGAGATTTTAGGATGGGAGTGAGAAAAATCTCAAGCTCAAATCAAGATATATCAGACTTAAACCATTCTGACATTTGATAATTTTTTAAACTTTTTAATTACCTTGGTACATTGCTTGTGCTCCAGTCCATGCAAAGAGACTTCCAACTGCATTGGCTCGATATGGAACATCAATCTGATCAGTGAGATTCAATCTTATCAATCTTTCTCTTTTTACCCTGTCAGGAAGCAAATGAAATTGGGTGTGCCCATAGCAGCATGGATCTGATATTTGAGAACCTAAACCCAAAAGAGATTATTTTAGATATGGTAATTTTCTATACTAAGGTCAGAAAATCATAGGCACAATTGATAGCAGTTCCACATTTTGGTATACTCATGTACTCAAATTTATCTTCCAAAAACCGTATCAATAAGCTCATAAATGTTAAATCAAAAAGATATGTAGAAAGATACAATGACACCTCTGCTCTGCCATCCATTAGCAGAGATGGCTAAATTGGCTGCTTTAACTAAAGAAAAATAAACAACCAATCTTGTTTTCTACTTGGAAACGACTTCTGGACTTTGTGCTTGTGGTGGAGAAAAAAAAGGAAACTTTGATTTTTGGTTTTGCTGATTAATTAGGTTTGTTATTACAGGAATGTCTAGTATATAGTATTATGCAAAAATAAATAATTGAGGCTGTATAGGTTGTCCTTGACTTACAACAGTTCGTTTAGTGATCAAAGTTACATCATCACTGAAAAAAAAGTGACTTATGACCGTTTTTCACATGTATAACCATTGCAGCATTCCCATGGTCATGTGATAAAAATTCAGATGATTGGCAACTAACTCATATTTATGATGGTTGTAATGTTCCAGGGTAATGTATCATCTTTTGCGACCTTCTGACAGCAAAGCCAATGCCTTATTCTGCTGTGCTAAACAGAGTTCTAAATCAATGCAATTTTTTTCTTTTTCCCTTTTAATCTTCCCTTTTTCCTCAACTGCTTTGCCATTAGTTTCATTTTTCTTTGTATTTTATATTTTTATAAAGTAATAAAAATCTGGATTACAAAAAAAGAAAGATACAATGACACAATAGTCTTACCTATAAATATTTTGTTCTCATATTGTCGTTTGAATAATGGAAGCTTGTCAGGTAAATGTTGGATAACAGGAATATCTCCAGGGCCCAGGTAATCAACAGGCTCAAACTTAAAGAAAGAAAATCAGCTCATGAGATAAACATGATTTACAATTTGTTTCTCTATCATAGAAAGCACTTAAATAATGAATTCTGTCATCTTGTATTTGCTGTTTCTACATTAAGCCATTAATACCTGTGTGACTGCTGAAAGTAGAAAGTTTAAGCAGAGACAGATTTCTCTTTATTAATTACACAGAATCATGATACTTGTAACCATGTAGTACTCTTAAAATGTACTGGAATTAAAAGCCCATAATTCCCAATGTTATCATCCTGACTGAAATTCCAGTAGTTCCCAGCATATCAGCAGGGCAGCAACTGGAGAAAAACTGAGAGAGAGAAAAATTCATGTGTGCACAGACCAGCAGAAGAAAGTGAACTCATAAAAACATATACAACGTTCTCTGCCCCACATGGCTCAGGTTCTCCTTTCTGTGAGATGTGATCTTAACTTTACACACAACGAATTAGGAAATACCTTGAGCCACAAAGGGATTCAACCTTGTTTCTCCCATTTGGATTACAATGGCATTCTACCTTCTCCTGATCAAGACTGCTGAGGTTTGCTGAGACACACCAACACCACTGCTGCTTCCCATCTCTGGTCCCCTTTTTAAAATTGCCATTCTCCTGCGCTCTAAAAGCTACAAAATGTGAAAGACGTGAATAGTGCTGGCCTCACCCACCCTTTTTTCCATTATATCTTAGGTTGGAATGTAAAAGATAGCAAGGAATCAGGAATGTCTATATGCATCCCCACTTTTTTCTATCACTGGTCAGCTGACAGGCCCTTATTCAAGCTGCATTAGTGCCTCTGTGGAAGTGCAGCTCCCTTAGCCTGTTTCCTGCCCTGAAGCATAAAGCAACACTTTCTACTCAACCTAAGGGATCCTGTATGGTGCTTGGCTAAGACAGGCAAGCTGTTGTCCTCCTATTAGGCACTTTGTATGGGGCAGAAGGACAAGGAGGTAACACAACAAATGATCTAGAATTTGAGACCCCAGTATAAAGTAAAATTCCAAATAGCAAAGAAACTTCACAACAATAAAGATGAACTCTGAAGATATCATAAAGAACAACATGCCTTTATATAAGGTGGATGCATTATGCACTATCTACTAACCTTGGAATAAATAACAATGAATATCATGGATACAATATTTCTGGAAATGTTTTAAAGAAGGCATTTTGGGGTCCAAAATCCTCCCCTACACACTACATGCCTCTGTAAGTTCCACTATCCTGAGTATGCATCTTCACTTATAAGTGTGATTGCATTTTTTAATGAAATGTTGAGTGTTAGTATGTCCACATACTGAAATATGATTCATTTATATCAGGATGTGGAAATGAAGCATAATGGAAGTTTAAATCAAACAATAAAAATAAATGCTTCAAAAAAAGAGATATAGGAGACGTTCCAATTTGCATCTACCTGCACACAAAATATCCCTTGGCAAACCTTTTTTGACTGCAATGACTTACATTTCTTCTACAGCCCACAAATGGACTGGTCTTAAGATGCTCTTAAGTACTCTGGTATTAAAAAAAACACATTTTCCTCTTATTCTAGCACCATTCAAAGAGCCAAAAATATTTAACATCTGTTAGGTTTTGGCTAGAAGTCATGTGACTGCAATGTTATGAGAGGTAACAGAAGGACAAGGATTAGTAATGGCAGCAGCAAGTTTTATTGTAGTGAGGCTTTCTGCCAACTTAAGGCTGGGTAGGTAGTGTTCTAACTCAGTTGAGAAGAAAAGCTGGCAGTGTGATTACTAGCCCTAAGAAGGGACCACTCACTTTACTTAGTAATTGATGAGGAATTACAGGGCCAGGATTTCTATTCTTATATATTCTAAACATGTCTCCACTTCAGTTTTATTTTATCACAGTTTATGGAAATTCTACCATATTTTTACTACTTCCTAAATTAACTCAAATACTTTTTAAGTATTTGCCATTCTGTTAAATGGCAAAATTGATTAGATGTAGTGGAGCAGAGGAAAGCAAACTGACAAATCTTCTGCAATCAACAATTCAACTTATAACTGTTGCTTAAACAAAATATTTGTACCTCTGAAAGTTGCTTTCTCATACGAATCTGACAGAGTGGCTTATCATCAATCTGAAATCTGAGCGGGTCAATCCTGCCATACCGATGTCCTCGAGGAACCACTGTCTCCCCACGTAACCAGTAGAAATGTACATCTGGCTGAAAGTCTGAAATAAGAAGACTGTGTCTAATGTGGATGTTCACATAGATAATAAAGAGACAGACGGCATAATGCACATTTTGGAATGTCAATTGTGTAATAAAGGGATCAATATTTTGGGCTACACATTAGACAAATGGCCTATTGGGATCCTTATGTTAAAATAATATATTTCCTATGCATACATACAATTCAGACTTTTATTTGAACAAAACAGCACAACAGGGAACTGCAAACATGGATCTGATTAGCGTAAATTGCAGGAATGACACAGAAATATGTTTTGCATTTTCTTTACCTTAGGTCTTTCAGTCTACTTTCTAACCTACTGTTCTGTAGTTTATATTTTATATCCTCATCAATAAATACCATTAACAGTAAATGCTTCATCTTCATCTCATTAGCTCAGAATGAAAGATGCCCGCGATTCTTACAATGACATTTTCATTGTTCTTCAAACAGGATCGAAGAGAGACACACCTATGAAGGAAGAGGAACCGAGCGCTGGGTTGAGACTAGCCAAGTGGGCTGCAAGCTTTGGCACCAGTTGGGTAATGAAAGCCGCCGGCCCCTGGTCGCTGATGCGGAAGAGTTTGGGGCGCTTTTTGCGCTGGTAATAATGCTCCTGAAGGAGCACTTCGCAGACAAGGGAGCGGAGCTCAGCCCAATCCAAACTGTCTTTCTTGTCTTCTTCGCTTACTGATACCGAAGCGGGCAGTCCTGGCACAAAGACAGTCTTCGTGAAATGTTGGTACCAGCGGTCTGCATTTATGGCCCACGTCTGCGGGTAGACCACATACTTGCGGCGCTGCCGTTTCCCGTAGATCGCCAATTTCTCCTCGACCGTAGCCGCGTTGTGAATACTTTTATAGTATTCCTCCCGGCGCCGGAGTTTGGCTATTTTACTCTTGGCGGTAAGTGAAGCCACTACGGGCGGATACAGAGAAGCGGGAGAGGCGAGGGGGTCGTCAGAAGGCGCCGCGGAAACCTCGCTGTGTATGAACTGCCCCAATCGAGCCCCTGGCAGCCATCGCCAACGTCTGAAAACCGCCATTTTGCCGGCGCAAAACGGAACCGGAAAAACCCGCTTCCGCCACCGCCGAAAAAAACCACGATTGGCCACCTGCGCTCACGTGATCCACTTCTCTCGGTGGCCGCCCTCCGTAGGAAAAGCATGGGAGAGTCTGGTGGCATGTTGCTGCGCATGCGCTACATCACCTGACACCTCACTGCCTCCTCTTTGAATTGCAACGCGGGGAAAGAACGGGAGAAGGGAACGACAGACGCTCGTATCTCAGGAAGCCCCAAAGAGTTTACTTTTTAATTGTTTTTATATTTATATGTGCATCTTTTTAAATAGAGCTACAGGGGGATTACTGGTGTGATCCATACCTCCTTAGCTTGGTACTAAACAAGTGTATCGGAGAGACGCCCTGCTAAGTTCAGGGATGCTTTACCCAAAGGTGCTTTTTCCAAGAGGCAACTGGACTTTCTTGTTTTTTCTTTGAAGACATTTCGCTTCTCATCCAAGAAGCTTCTTCAGCTCTGACTGGATGGTGGGGAATGGAAGGATTTATACTCCTTGCAGACAGCTGGACATTTGCATCCTTTTAGAGGGTTGTTGAAGCACTTGGACATTTATTTTATTTATTTATTTATTTATTTGATTTGCCAATTGTTTACAAGATAATAAGTATAAATGTATACATAGTTGTGAATACATGAAATGGGTACATATAAGAAAAATAAAAGAATAAGAGAAACTTGGAGATATATCTGTGTCCTCAGGGTCACCTCAGCAGTGCTAATAGTTTATTTATTTATTTATTTGATTAGATTTTGTAATCACTTACAAAATAGGTATAAGTATAAACATGAGTCAGAATACAGGAAATAGGTACGGATAAATGGGGACAATAGGACAGGGACGGGAGGCACGAAGGTGCACTTATGCACACCCCTTATGCACTTATGCATAAGTCTGCAATTTTTCTGGAAATCCGTTCCTACTCCCACACCATTCAAAGGGTCTTCATCCCAAATTGCATAGCTAAAAGTCTGTAGCGATTCTCAGTCATCCAGGTCATGGTTATCCCATCGATGCTTTTTCAAGAAGCAACTGGATTTCTTGTTTTTTCTTTCTTTGAAGACATTTCACTTCTCATCGAAGAAACGTCTTCAAAGAAAAAACAGAATGTCCAGTTGCCTCTTGAAAAAGCATCTTTGGGACAACCATGACCTGGATGACTAAGAATCTCCATAGACCTTCAGTGATGCTTGCTCCCCACTAATAGCGTAGGAGTGCAACATTAGTGATGTTGATGATAGTTATTTGTTTTTATAACTACATTGGAATCACAATTTTGATGTGTTCAAAGTGGAAAGAAAAAAAGTAGGGAGAATTTGCCTTGTTAGTAGGCTAGGATTGATGGAGGTTGAGGCCATGTCTACCTCCCCCCCCCCCCCCCCCCCAATGCTGGAGCCAACTGCTTCTAGAAGTTCCAAACAAAGGAAGGGTGAAATTTTGCTTTCTAGTTCCTGTCTAAGTGCAACCTTCTTTTTAAAATATATTGCCTCCCGGTTCTATCTAGAAATCTTACAATAAAAAGCTGTAAGATTACAACGTATTATCTAAACTATTAAGAAAGCAACTCAAAACAATAAAGACTTAACCACTTTCTAGTCACATTAAAAATGTTCAATTTAACTACTTTATGGATATGAGAAACCTTCAAAACAGTGAACTTAGATTGACACCTGTTGAGTTTTTCACCTTTGGATTTAAGAAATTTTAAACATACTAAAGAATTTAAAATAATATACACTTGGTGAAAAGCAAAAGAAAGAAAAAGGATATTGATTTAAGAAAGTTTTAAAGTGATTGGAAATCAGAAATGTGGAAAATTCGTTATTTTTGCTGTAAGATTTGAAAAGCAAATATATAAGCAAATATATTCTCATGGGAAATTAGTGAAACAGAACTAAATCTATATTAGGAAATGTGGATTGATGAAGGTTGCAAATAAACACCATAGGAAATTAAAGGACCAGGTTTAGACATCTATTACTTTTTCTGTCTTAAAAAGGTTTTTCAAATAGGAAGTGAAATATTAATAACTAACTCAAAATAGATTACAAATTGTGAATACAAAAGACCAATCAAAAATGATTCTGGATAAATTCTAGACAATTCCTCTGAGATTTACGAAGTGAGCTGTGGAAAGAATGATTTAACAGTTCAAATTGTTCAAGAAGGAATATAATGTTGGACTATTTCACCATGAATAAACTGTTCGATATTTCTGGTAACTCCTAATTGACTTTTTGCAGAACTAGGATAAAAAAGATGATTTCTGGATTGTGTATAGGTGAAAGACTATGGAAAGAAGAGTGTTTTTTCTAAATTTGTAACTGTAAAAGAGGGTGAAAAGTTAGAATATTACTTTATGTTTGGTGTGATGAATGTTGGCAACTTCTTCTTTATTACTGTTCATGTTGCCTTTTTATTTTCTATTTTTTCTGCATATTTTGAACTTTTTCTTTTTTCTTCTGGTTTAGTTTTTATTATGTTTATTAAACACTTCAATAAAATTATTAGCGAAAGCATCCATAATGATATTCTTGTATTATTTCCAGGATACTTTTATATTTTATTTGCAAAGAATATAGAAAAAAATACAGATCTAAGGCACTAGATGTCGCTGTTTTATCACTAAGAATTTATATAACTAACAAATTAAGAATGTGCTTTGAGTTGTGCTCCCAATTTCATTGCACAATATACTGTGATTCTAAAGAATTCAGTGAATCTTTTAGGTGGTATTAAGTATCAGTGAAATCAATGAGATGCCCATCAGTGTTTTGTGTGAGAAAATACCAAGTTGTCCTTTCTTCCTGAAAGCTTCAGCAATCAGCATTGCATGTTTTTTTCCTCTTTCGCCTATGAGCTTGCAGTAAAAGATTACAATCAAGCCTTTTTTCATACAAGAAGAAATAAAATTCTTCAGAAATCTGCTACTCTGTGCAACTTACAAAAAGACACCTAAAAATGAGGATTTTTTTATTGCCTTCTGACTTAACACCCACAAGTCATGTTAGGTAGATGAAACTTCTGTAAATGGAAACGTTATAATTCTGAATTCTAAATTTTGGGTGAAACAATGAGAATACATTTCCACTTTTCCCAGATCTCTTTGAATAGAAGCAAATAACTTGCACTTTGCCTTATTCCATATGCGTCAAATTCTAAAATAAGATACCAATTTCTTTATTCTACAAAAGCATCTTTAAACAGAAATGTAGTTCACTGTCATTAAAATTAGATCAAAATCCTTCATTATGCTCAATGATCAAATGTAGGTACACTTTAGTAACAATATTACAAGAAGGGAGGGGATACATGCAATCTAGCCAACATAAGGATAAAGGATAAAGAAGAGGAAAAGTTGGTAAGAGTTATGTATCAGACTCTTTCAAGTAGGTAAGACAAAAGGGAATTGCAATAAGTGTTTAATTGTTAAGCAAGTACAGTGATATTACTGAATGAAAATCTAGTAAAATGTTAAAATATATATTAGAACATTTAGATAAATAAAAATGTAATAAAATACAGAAGTATAAGTACAATCATAATATATGTTTGAGTATAATTTATAATGCTTAATATAATTTAGAATTATATAAAAGGGCAGGAGAAATTAAGAGAAGAAGACTGTGGCAGACCACTTCTGAAAGGGATTGCCCAGAAAATTTCATGGGCTAGCCCATGCAGCAGTCACCAGGGTGACGGAGGCACATATACTCATTCACACCTATGAATTTCAGACACCCCAGGTCATTGGTCAAAGCAAATATAGTCAAGATAGTAATTACAGGTAGTCCTCGACCTATGGCCACAACTGACCCCAGAATTTATGTTGCTAAGTGAGAAATTTGTTAAGAGAGTTTTAACCCATTTTACAACTTTTCTTGCTGTATTTGTTAAGCAAATCACTGCAGTTAATTTAGTAACACGGTTGTTAAGTGAATCTGGCTTCTTCATTGATTTTGCTTGTCAGAAGGTCACAAAAGATGATCATATCACACACACACACACACACACACACACACACATGGGACACTGCACCTGTCATAAATATGAACCAGTTGTCAAAAATCTAAATGTAAAATCATGGGGCCATGGGGATTATGCCATGGTTATAAGTGTGAAAAATGGTGATAAGTCACAGTTTTCAGTGCCATTGTAACTTTGAACAGTCACTAAATGAGCTGTTGCAAGTCAAGGACTACCTGCACTGTGTTTATTGTATTTCCACAAGTCTCCTACCCATAGTTTTCCAAGTATTATTGTACACGGGGAATGATTCAACACACAAAAATGAGCACTGTTTATAGGCTCCATGGCATAGTGGGTCAATTTTCCAATGCTTTCAGCAAAACTTGTTCTTTATTATCTATATATATAAAAAAGCAAAATGTCACTCACGCATCATCACAACATCTCCAGTACCATAAAGCCTAAAACTTGACATTTGGCATGTATGTTCCACTTGGCTTCCAGGTGCTCACTAAGAGGATTTTTCAAAATGATCATCAGAGCATTAGTATTTCCTACGTTATTATTAACACGCTCTGATGCTAAGGAGTTCCTCTCCCCCTCCCCACCTGAAAAGAAATCTGTTCCGAATGCAAAATACAAGTAGAGGAGAGGAGTTTCAGTTTTACAGCACCAAGCAGCTTTAGTACAGAACAGTTGAGCTAAGCCATGCCCAGGCTCCTTGCTCACACAAGGAGATTGTTTCACTTTCCAAACAGCCCTCAACTCTCTTACACACTGACAGGATGCTAGCCTGATGAATACCGATGGATGCTGGTAGGCAGAATTTATTTTTCCTTATTTTCCTCCCCCAAAACTAAGCCCGACCACATAGTTTCATAGCAAAGCACGGATATTGAGTTAGTAGGTTTATATTTAAGAATATTGATGAAGCTAGATTTGGATTGGAAGCCATTTCTTCTTGGTCAGTTTCAAGCATACAGATTAAAATAGATGAGGCTGTGAAAAAGTATAAAT